ATTCGGAAAGGTGTTCCGCAACTTGCGACCTCTGTCAGGGGCAACGATAGGGGGGGGGAATAGGCATGGGGGGGACGCATCGACCCCCAATCGCCCATTGATCGCCGATAGGGGCCCGATAGCCCCAACCCGCCCAGGAAGGTGCGGATTCACGATTGCAGGCCTATCGCCGATCCATCGGCGATGTATCGCCGATTCCAGGTCGATGCATCTCCCCCTATGCCAGTCCTCCCCTATCGTTGCTCCTCACTCTAGCGGCCCGGTTTCGGGCCCCACGGCGGCAGTCAAAGCCTCGAGCCAGGGGTCTCTGGGGGTCCCACCAGCCGGTGTGGACCCCCAGAGATGTCCACGGCGGTGTTGAGCCGAATTCGGTCGTCGTCGTCGTCGTGGTCGTCGTCGCCATCGCTGTCGTCGTCGTCGTTGCCGTCGTGGCCGTCGCCTGTCGCCATCGTCGTCGTCGCGCATCGCTCTCCACGCACGTGCCGCCGTAGGGCCAGCATGGGGGGAGGAGATGGCCTTCGGATTGTTGGGCGTCGTGAAGAGAAGGAGGAAGCTCGCCATGGCATGGCCCATTTCGATTCGATCGATCCCATTCCACATCGATTCTGCACAGCCCGATCCGATTCGATTCTCACATTCAGACGAGTCGACGCACCCCGATTGTTGGAAGGCGATGTTGTAACTCCTGGCGCGGCCGATCCGATTGGATTTCGACTCCTTGCCGATTCGGCCCGAATCGATGATTCGATGCCTATTCCGAGCCTAGGCGATGTACAGTCGGACCGATATATAAGATCGAGGTCGGCTCGGGGTGGATACCCTCATGGTCGTCGTGCTTGTTGGATGTGGCATATTCTTGTGCATCCTGGAGGAGGGTGCCCTCGAGTGTTCCTCGGTTTGGGTGGCGGAGGGTGCCATGTTGTTGGAGGATGCTCTTCAGTCTCAGGTCTGGCCGTATCGGTTCGACGCTGGCCGATCCTGCCCGTGGGGACCAGGAGCCCGGGAGCCCTGATCTGGGTACGCGGCTTCTGGCCCTTGCCCCGGGCGGCTCCTGGCCCTGCGCTCCCGGGCGGCCCGCGGTCGCCGAGAGTTCGGCCCAAGACGCCCATGACGGCCTCACGATCCACGAGGCCTCCGAGAGACAGCTCGGACGCTTCCGAATGGCTTCTTCGATTCCTGCAGGTTCTCACGCCCACGGGAGCTTTTCCATGGGTCGCGATGGGTCGGGGGCGCTCCGGGGGATTGCGAGGCAGGAGCGAGCAGGAAGACCAGTCAGCTGGATGGCAAAAAGCCTTCAAGAAGCTCCAGGAGGCTTCCAAGAAGGCCTTGAGAGGCCAGAAGCCTTGAGACATCGGCAAACATGTGTTTTTAAAGATCTCGCCTTCTCTTCTCTTGGGCCCCCAAACGGGGCGGTGACCACACCGTGCGGTGAGACGGTGGGGATTCGGGGTCACCGCACGGTTTTGGGACTCGGGTCGTTCTCCGAGGACGTCTCGGGCGACTGGGGCATCCGAGGTCCCAAAACCGTGCGTTGACGGACCGCGCGGTGAGGTCCTGGGGGATATCGGTGTCACCGCACAGTCTGTCACCGCACCGTTTCGGGACTCCAGATCTGCGCTTCCGATGGGCCACTGAGGCCTCTGGCGGGCCCTCGGCTCGCCCGAGAGAGCCCCAAAGAGGAGCCCCAGAGGGCCCCAAGACGGCTCCGAAAGCTCCGCCAGACGGTTGCCCAGGGCGTCGGACGGGCCGTGAGCGCCTCGAGGCAGCCCGCAAAGCCCCCTAGAGGTAAGTCGGGCCTGTCCCTCTACAGGAGGAATATTCAAGAGTAGTCAAAAATAGTCAGGGGACGATTTTTGTTAACCATTTTTGAGTATTCTAGGTTATTGTTTGACTATTTTTATTTTTCGTCCAAAATCCCCCTGTAGGGGGACAAGCCCGACTTAACCCTAGAGGTCCCAAGCGGTCCCCAGGAAGCCCCCAAGAGGCCCCCAGGATGCTTACAGGACTCCAGCAAGCCGCCAAACTCGTGCATCCCCCCAGGAAAGCTACAAGTGTTCAGGATCTCAGCTTTTCGCGCTCGATGGGCCTGTGAGGCCTTCAGATGCCCTCCAGGCGGCCCAGGGGTTCCCTGAACGGATCAAGAGGCCCAAGAGGGAACCCTCAACATATTCCAGGAACCCTCCTTTCCAAGAGTACCCTCGAGGCGCGCAGTTGGCCGGATGATCCTGGAGGCCTCTCCGGGAACGTAGGCCAGCGACGAAGACGATTACGATGTTGGTGTTGGTTTTAGTGTTATTGAGGACGCTGATGGATAGGACGATGTGTGATGACGACGTGCACGATTACCGCGTCTGTCCATTACTAAAAGGATGCACACTCATGCTGATAATGCTGAGGACGATAAGGAGGATGATGATGAGGACGGGTACGACCACGACGATGACGATGTTCACGGTGTGGATGATGGTGGTAATGGTGGTGGTGGGGATATGACGGTACATTTGATGAGGATGGTGATGGTGATGATGATGATGATGATGATGATGATGATGATGATGATGGTGCCCATAATGATGGTGATGATTCCGATGATGATAACAGTGGTGAGTATGATAATGATGGTGACGGTGACGGTTTTGGTGACGGTGATGGCCATGGTAATGGTGATGGTGGTGAGGATGAGGATAAGGATGTTGACGAGGACGAGAGAGGATGACGACGACGCCGATGATGATGATGATGATGATGATGATGATGATGATGATGCTGATGATGATGATGATGATGATGATGATGATGATGATGATGATGATGATGAGAAGCAGGAGGAAGAGGAAGACTACGATGAGGATGACGACGACGATGACGCCGATGATACTGATGCGGATGAGGATGATGATGTTGATGCTGATGCTGATGCTGATGCTGATGCTGCTGCTGCTGATGATGATGATGATGAAGTTGCTGTTGTTGATGATTGTGCTGCCATCATGATGACGACCGCGTCTCCAGACAACTACACTTCCTGTGGACTGACTGCTTCAGTCCAGGCGATCCTGCGCTTTCTCGGCTTCTGCGGGGCCGCTCTTGGGCCCCGGGGCCACAAGAGATCGGCTTGGGACGTCCCCGGGGAGGAGGGCTGAGAGCTTTGGGGACCCCGCTGATCGAGCAGATCGATCCGCTTGCGGTCTTGGGCACCCAGCTCGGGGCGGACGACAGGAGGCGTTTGGGAGAAAGCGGGTTGTGAAGGAGGCTCACCACAAGGCACGTAGAGGTTTCCCAGACGCCCTTCGGGGGAACCGGGGAGGCGTTAAGGTTGAAGAATCCTGGTGGCCTCTTGGAGTGCTCGGACTCATCTTCCTCAGGAGCGGGGGGTCGCCGCTGCGGTTTTGACTCGTGCCGCCGCAAGCCCAAATGCTTCAGGACACCTCGGGAATTCATGGTTTTGAGTGTTAGACGTTTCCACGGGCGCCCCAGAGGCGCCCGAAAAGTATCGAGATTCCACGCGTAGCCCACCCCCTCCAGGCCACAAAGTCGCACAGAAATAGCGCCCAAAAGTCTCGCCTGACCGCCTAAACGCGGTCGGAAGACCCCCGCGGGTTTCTCCAGCGGCTTCTTGCAGGCCCCCAGAAGTTTCAAGATGCCGCAAAGGGGCGCCAAGATCGGCCTCAGAGGCGCCAAGGAGAACAACACGAGAGTTGCAAGCTCGCCCCAAGAGAGCTCCAAGGGAGCTCCAAGAGAGCTCCCAAATGAGCTCAACTTTTAGGGCCCCGCGCCCCTGGACACCCCTTGATTTTGTAAAGGATGCTCCTTCAAGGCAGGTCGGCGCACGGCTCCTCAACAATCTGTAAGCATTGTGGCACAGGCCGCTGACAGCTGCGTACTGCCCGGTTTCTCCGTCATGCGCGCCAGAGCGGAGGTTTGCCGGGCGCGGGTGGTGTCGTTCACCGGTGTGACGGTACTGGGGCCGAGCATATCAGGGCATGAAATGGGTGTCGGCCCAGTTACGCTCGAATGTACAGGCGATATTGTGCCCGTCACATACAACGGTCAGCTCTCGCTTAAGCAGGCCAGACTCGTGACGCAGAAGGTCACCTCGATGCGCGCAATCCTTAGCGATGTCCCATAGGAGTGAGGCTGTTGCGAGGAGGCACTTGGTGGGGGCGTTTGGACCCGCCTCCAGTGGCATGCGAGCTCAGCGTTGGTCGCTACGCGGCTCTTAAAGGCGCGTATGGGGACGAGCGTTTCGTCCATGGCAGAACGGGACCCATGCTGGAGAGGTTTGTTTTTCAAGACGCGTGGGCAACATGGATCTTGGCGTCAAGTCATGGCGGGGCCAGATTCTGGACTGCGCTTTCGAGGGGTGGCGGGCGTTTGGGGAGATCGCATGTACATGTTCGGCGGAATGCAAGCTCGGCCTGGGCAAGGCGAGATTTGTGAAGTGTATGCCGACACGTGGTATCTTGAACTGGTCTCGGAGCAGCGGACGCATGTGCAAGTGGCGCGACCGTGGCCAAGCTCAACGCTCAAGGTAATGTTCACGTCTCCAAACATAGCGCAGCTAAATGAGGTCTTCCATTTTATGCATATGGGGAGGTGTCATTCAAACAAGGTTTTGGACCAGGCTGGGCACTTGCGTTTGATGTCTTTGATGGGTCCATACGCGACGTGGTGGGAAAGCTTATGGTGCGTTATGGTTTCCGCTGCGCGCTCCTTAGCAGCGCAATGCACAACTCAAGTGCCGCTATCATGATTCTTGGTGGCCGTAGCGATGTTCCATCCGCTTGGATTGCGGACGTATCTCGAGAGCCGTGCATGTTCAGGCTTGCGCACGGCGTGTCTACGACCGCGCAACCCAATTTGTGGGCCGCGCATGTCGGCGCAACTGCGCAAGGCGTTGTCGCCAATGGGGGGCGCTGCGCGGCGCCGAGGGAGTCGGGCAAGACCTCCTCAACGAAAAACTGCGGGGAACTTCGGTGTGCACAGATGATGGCGCCCAAATGATTGCGCTGGCAAGTGGCGCTGTTTTCGCAATCAGTGGTTGTGCCGACTTGCGGTCTTATTGCCGACGTACGTCGCATGGCAGTACGGTGCACGCGATTTGCCCCGAAACGTGCGGCTTATGTACGGCGCCGTGCGCAGATGATGACGCCCGCGCGATCGCTCTTGCAAGTGGCGCTGGTCAGGCGATCTGTGGTTGTGCCGACTTGCAGTGTCATTGCCAACGCATGTCGCATGGCAGCACCGTGCAGGCGATTTGCCCCGCAACGTGCGGCACATGCACGGCGCAAGGCCAGAAGCTGGCCGATGAGAAAGGTCCCAGCGCTCACGGACTCGTCGTTTGGATCAAAGAGCTGACAGCGCCCCCAATGAGCAAACGTAACTGGATCGACGAGCCGAGGGCGGTGGCCCCCCCGACAAGTGCCCCCGCGGCAGAGGCCAGGCAGAAGTCGGAGGAGTTCAGCACTTCGGGCGCCGATTTGTTTTGCCCGTAATTTCTTGCACTTCGGGCAGAGCATTTGAGAAAATAGGGCTGGTGAGCCTTGGTTCGGCGAGCCGGCGCGCGCTGGAGCGTGCACTACCATAGCGGAGCTCCCAGAGTTGTGACAGCGATCTCGCAGCCCTGGACGGACCTAGACAGCACCCAAACAGCCCCCAAGCCAGTCCAAGGGAGCCGTGCCGCATCCCATAACGGGCCCAATACGATCGAGCCCTTCTTAGACAGCGAGTGCCCCGCAAACCCCGACCTTCGTGTCATCGCAGCGCCATGGGCTGGCCAAGAACCTGAAGTGCGCGTGTGGCTTCATACATGTGTATGTGTGTATATATATATATATATATATGCACACGCGCGCCCGCAATGGTCTCGCCCTCTGCCGCAGGCCCCCCTCCCTTTTAACGTGACATGTCAGAGCTATGCCAGGAGGTGGAGGCGCTATTTTGAAGGCTTCTGAGATGATGGAGTTGTTGTTGAATGCGATGTTTCTTTCTCAGGGCGCGAAGCTGCGCAATTCACCCGAGAATATGGCCCCTGGCCTTTGGAGCGCGAGTTCGGTGTAAAGAGAGAGCGCTGTCTGCCGCTGCTGGGAAGGGGGCGAGGGGTTCAAGGCCCCCACAACCTCAAAGCCAGGCGGGAAACTTCATGCAGGCGGTCTGGACCCCTTCCCCCCTCCTCCCCCAGGCATTGAGAGGGGTCCAGACTCCCCCCCGGGCCCCCTATCCCCACCCCCCGTGGGGGAATGAATCATTAGGGCGTCCACAACCCCCCCACTCACGGCGACGCCGACGACGACGACGTCGTCGTCAACAGCGACGACGACGTCGACGAAACCGACGACGACAACGACGAAAACGAAGACGACGAGAACGACGACGACCACGCCGACCACAACGACGACGACGTCGACCACGACGCACGACGCACGACGCACGAGGACGACGAGGCCGACGCTGGCGCTGATGCCGGCGCCGACGCCGACGCCGACGACGAAGGCGACGATTCAGACGACGACGACGCCGACTACCACGACGACGACGTCGACAATGACGACGAGGCGCGACGACCGGCGCCGACGCCGACGACGTCGACGAAAACGCCGACGACGACGTCGACGACGACGACGACGTCGACCAGGACGCACGACGCCGACGTCGGCCACGACGCACGAAGACGACGAAGCCGACGACGGCGACGCGCAGACTCCCACGCCGACGCCAGCGCCGACGCCCACGTCGACGACGACGACGACGACGACGACGGCAACGGCGACGCCGACAAGCACGACGACGACGACAACGACCTCGACGAGACGACGATGACGCCGACGACCACGACGACGACGCCGACGCCCACGACGACGACATCGACGACGTCGTCGACGACGCCGACGACGGCGACGTCGACGACCGACGACGACGACGACGGCGACGCGCCGACGCCCACGCCGACCCCGACGACCGACGACGACGATCACGACGGCGACGGCGATTACGACAGGGACGACGAAGATGACGACGATTCCGACGACGACGACGAACGACGCACGACGCACGACGTCGACGCCGACGACGATGCCATCGCCGACGCCGACATCGATGACGACGACGACTACGACGTCGACGGTGACGGCGACGGTGACGGCGACGGTGATGACGACGAAGAAGTCGACGATGACGACGACGACGATGACGACGACGACGATGATGACGACGCCGACGCCGACGCCGATCACGACGAGACAATGACCACGTCAATGACGACGTCAACGACGCCGACGATGACGACGAGAACGACGACTACGTCCAGTAGGGTGGGGTACGGTCGGGTAGAGTAGGGGAGAGCAGAGTAGAGTAGGGATGTGTAGATCATATTTACGTATCTTTTGTGGACAGCATAGTTTGCACATCGTATATTCTCCTTTCCTAAACAATGATTGTGCCCCCCTCTGATGGTTGACGGTCCAAGTTTCTCGTATTGCAATTTATGATTATGCCCCAAGGTCCATGCTAAATTTGACTCATATGATCCCAGGCAGACCAGTATCAGTTCCTCCGTTAACTTGTGCAAAATATCGTATGCGCGGACGTTCGTTTATCAAAAGTCATCAGTTGTCAATAATCCCTGCAAACAATGGAACGAAATGCACGCGCGCGTCGTCGCGCGCTTGCCAGAATCTTTCAAAAACCCGATAGGTGTTGTAAGGATTGCAAGATCGAGCGTCACGAAAACATATAAGAGCACATGGTTTGGGGGACCAGGGTGTTCAACACAAGCCGGCGCCCGAGCGTTCTTTCGAATTCCGAGGACACTTTTTTCCAATTGAAGGAACATCAAAAAAACACTTTTTTGTACAATGCTACCAGACATCGTTCGAGCGTCCTTTCGCGCGTGCTGTCGCAGGAATACGTTTGCAAACAATGGGACGAAGTGCGCGCGCGCGTCGTCGCGCGAGCACGCCGACATGTTTGGAAAAACTGTACGTTTCGTGAGGATGTCAAACACGAGTGCCCCGAAGACATTTCAAAACACATAGTTTTGCAACATCAGCGTGCCAAGATGTCCTGCGCTCGGGATCTTGTCGGCGCCGATCTCGGCCATGGTCCATGCCGGCCGTCGCCGATTCGCGAGGATGACCCTCGAATTGACCGTGAATCAGATGCACGGTGGCCAAGATCGACCCCGACGTCTCCGCGCTCAGTCTTTGGCTTGGCCACCGTTGCATCGACCAAAAAACGTGCCATGATGTGTCTTCCGCCCCGCGGGCTCCCTCCCGTATCGTGTGCGAGAGGGGGCAAGACAAATTTCAAGTTCAATACCCGCTTTGCCTGTTGTCTGGATCGCTCGCTTCCGCCTTACAGCTGGCTCCGCTGCACGGGATTCGAATTCAAGCGATTGCGACCGCAGTAACGCCACGTACCCCAGCCACTACTCCCTGCGCAGACTACCTTGTGCAAGTTAATGGTTGCAAGTGCCGGAGCGGAGAGGGCGCAACGGTAGCCCAACTGAATTTAATGGATCGTTGTTGGTCCCCCATCCGTTCATGGAAAACCGTGCAAAACCGCTCGTTGAGCACGGCGTGCGAATGAATGCCGCGGAGCGCTTGTTTAATTGGGGACACGTATGTGGGTGGCAGCCAGTGGCGAGCCAGCAATTTCTGGGCTGCATAATCCCGAAGAGTCGGGGTCGTGGCGACGACCCTGGCGTGAGGCAGCGCGGTCCACGATGTGGTCGATAGAAGAGGGAGGGGAGCAGGCTTGAGGAAGCGTGAGAGACATCGAATCTGCCTCTCCCAATGCAGATGGCTATTTCCAGGTAGCGAGTGCTGCTGCGGCCCCACTCCGCAGGGGCAGCGGGTAGAATGTAGCAAACGTTCGCATCATATCCAAAAACCGCCCTGCGGACCTGGACACGAGGCCCTGGCCGAGAATCAGAGTATCATCGCGAAGTCTACAATCCCGGATTCCATGGCCATTCGAATTTTGGGGGGAGAGGATGCGTCGTTCAACCAAACCTAAAAACGCGGAGTTGTCGAGCGTGGGAGGCCCATCTTTGAGCCGAAGGGCACATGAGACACAAGATTTTCAGAATCGTCCCAGGGGTCCCGAGCAACCTGGCACGTGAGCAAAAACCAGATGGTTTCTTCAATCGTGTTGTAAGTGGCATTGCGCGTATCGAACAGGGACAACACGCAATATTCAATGTCGTCGACGTTGCCGTTCGAATATAAATCTGTCACATCGACCTTGCAACATTGCCAGGAATAGTCGAGGCGCGAATCGCGCGCAGCCTATCGACTAAATCGAAAGTATCACGGAGGAGGTGGGGAGCACGCTCGCGGGGTTTTGCGTTGAGGACCGCAATCAACCAGGAGCTCAACCCTCCAAAAATGAACGAGGGCGTAGCGTGCACTGGGAGGCAGATTACGTGCCCAGTGGGCTTACGAATCTTTATATGAAGTTGCAGGCGGCTGTACAACGTGCACGAAGGAACCCTGTTGTTCTAGGCATTTGTCGAGCGTCGTGTAGCTGACCAATCGCTTCCGGATCTTGGTAGCTACGCAACTTCCTGCAAGCCGTTCCAGCGCACAGGTGTTGGAGAAGCTTCGGCCGCGGTGCCCGTACGCCGACCGAGCTCTCCTGATTGCGCCTTGGAGCCTCCCGCAGACGGAAGCGAGCCATCTCTCTCCAGCAGCATCCACTGAAGGCTCGTGCCCATTGTTGCCTGGCGGGGAGAAAGGGCGACCCCAAAGGAGCGAGGACGGGGGAAGGTCATGTCGTCGTCGCCAGAAGGACAAAGTTGTAATGCCATCGCCAGTTGGCCCTATTTACACATTTGCTGTATTTTGCACGGGGGTGCTCTATGGAAGGTCCGCCGCGCGACTGAAACAGATGCCTGCGGTGCCGCCTCAAAATGAACCACTTTAACGGCCAGGGGATCCCTGGATCATCAACCAAACATAGATCCTGCGTGTGGGGGACGCATCGATGGACGAGGTGCTTGGCGCCTTTCCACCCAAGGGGTGTGAGCAGGTCACCTGCCTGAAGTCCTTCGGTAAGCCGGGGCATCCACCGGAGTGGCGTTGTGGCCTTTTCGTTTCTTCTTGCTCTTGCCGCCATTTTTTGCCGAAGCCTTTTCCTAACCGTCCTTGCCGCCTGCTTGGCCCTTGCTCTTTCCCTACACCTTGGCGTCGGGGCTGGGTGGGCTCCCTCGGCATGGCCCTTACCGCCGGCATGCTGCTTGCCTCTTTCATCCAGGCATGGGAATGTCAGGATATTGCCACCGCCAGCGGACTCGCTCCCTTCTTGCTCCAAATCCTGCCCCCTAAGCGGCGCAGCCCTCCTCCTCCTCCTCATCTTCCTCCTCCTCCTCTCTCATCCTCTCTCCTCCTCCTCCTCCTCCTCCTCCTCCTCCTCCTCCTCCTCCTCCTCCCCCTCCTCCTCCTCCTCCTCCTCCTCCTCCTCCTTTTCCTCCTCCTCCTCCTCCTCCTCCTCCTTG